TTTCGTTACATTCGAACAATTATTCAACTGGAGCAGATGATGATGATATTTTATTTATACTGTGAGTTTAATGAATAATATAAAATACATATCACGACGAAATAGCTTGTATCATCTACTTACATAATTTCAATTCTTTTTAAATTTTATTATTGAATTTTAATTATTGGTAACAGCTAAAAGATTTAAGGAAATTTTTACTTTTCTCAATTTTTTTAAATTTTACGTTTAGGTTAGCGTTAGTAAAGTGAACAAGAAATATTAAGACTATCGCTCTTTTTGTATCGTAAAATTAAGAGAGTGCAAATCTTTTTGCAAGAGTGAATCAGAAATACAGAGATATAAGAAGGCTCGATTTTAATATCGTTTCATCAGAAGGATTTTTTTCATTGATACCTTACAAAAGTTATCCTTCTCAATCTCGGATGAAGGCGTTTTATATACGCAGTGAATTAATTGAATGATTGATTGGTTTATCTTATCGTTACGTTGCACGCCGTGTGATAAACTGTTCTTTTCGTCATCTTCCGGCAGCTTAAAATCTACTGTATAATTGATCATTATTTTACTATTACTTTGCCGTGTCCTTGGAGAAGCATGCACCTGTCGCGTTTTAATAATGCACGAAATACACGACGCGGCGAAGGTAGATTATTTTATTGACATTGTAAAGCAAGAACATAGAGGTTCTAGAAGCGTCTGGTATACGTATGTATGTATAACCTCCACGTGATATAAGATAATGACCGAGAATGGCCATCAATTAGCAATATATGTGATCGTATGTATCGGTGAACTTCATACCGCAGATCCATTCATTGCACGATATTTTGATTGTGTGTAATTGTAAGTTAGAGTAGAGAATACGATCGAACAAACAATCGCTAGATCCTTCACTTCACAAATTCAAATTCATGTGAATTCTTTTAAGAAAAATTGAAAATTCTTTTGGAAAAGATAGATGGATCGTCGAAAGTTTTCGATCAGACGCAAGCAATCAAAAGTGTTTGAAAACCATTGAAATATTTGACGTGTAAAATACTATTTTAAAATACACGAGAGAATGAAATCAGCAGTTTCAATTAAATTCGCGAACATGAAAGGAATGTTTGTGTTTGATGTCGAAAGCTCTTTCCCGGGGATAGTGTGCGGACACAAGAGTTCGTACAATCACGATATCGTTTCGTAATAAAATTTGTAGGAACCAGGTATACCATATACTTTGTTCAACGAGTCGATCTACGATGAATAAAGCTGGCCTATATAATAGTTATTAACGAAGCAACGAATTATAATCTGATGAATAGCTTTGTATTATTATTCGCAGAAAATGCTGAAACTGAGCTATTAAACCTGATTGAATAGCAACGAATGTAGATATTAGGTCAATCCAATTCAGCAGATACAGTATATGATTTTCTCAGTTAAGAAATTAATATGTATCGTGACTACATTATATATCATATGCAATAAATGTAGGTGATATGATTAAAGGTAAATATATAGTAGTGTAGCTTTTTAATAAGAGTAGATTTAATTAATTGTGTGTAGGTATATATGTATTTAATTTTTTAAAATAAAGAATTAAAGTCAGATTCTGATAGTATGTATGTTCAATTTCCAAGTTTTGCTGAGAGATGAAATTTCTTTTTCTCGTGAGAATATTTTCTACAGTTAAATATGTACGTGGATATTTAATTTTATATATATATATATATATATATATATATATAATATTTATATTATATTATATATAATTATAAATTTAATATAAATATTATATTATATATAATATAATATAAATATTATGTATATATAATTAAATATCCACGTACATATTTAACTGTAGAAAATATTCTCACGAAAAAAAGAAATTTATATATATATATATATAAATCTAAAATAAAAAATTTTAGTTTTATTTTAACCTCTTTTATTTTAACTTTTTGTCCCACAAACAAATTGCAATATTTTCTCAGTTTTAAGTTTTGGATTTAAATGTAATCCAGGCAAAACAGATGATAAATTTAGTGCTTCTTAATAATTTCTAGTCTCTGACATCATACCGCAGAGTTCAAAAGAAACAGAGAGCGACGAATTATTGTATACGGTTCGGTCACTCGTTATGGTCCGCAAACCAGTTGCCAGCGCAAGGGGTTAAATACGTACACGTCTCTTTTCGTTTGATTCATTGGGCACAGTCTTCAACTACACATATTAAATCTTGACTCAAATGTCTTCTTTCTTCGTCACGATGTATATCCACGCGCCATTCATCTCCCGAAATTTCATACTTACTTCAAACGTCTCCTCAAGTCGAATATCTCGCCGTTTCCTTGTTCAGACGTTGAGGCGTTGCTTCTATTTTCGCAGAGCGAACGTTTGCATTTATGCCAAATTGGACAGAATGCGGACAATCGCGGCACTATGCTCGAATCGACTTCTCTATTATCTCACGCTTTCAGGCAGTCTCTCTGAGATTTATTGGGAACTTGGAAAGACACTGTAATGGCGCGCAATTCGGTGGTCCCTTTCAAACATAGTTTTCGCTTATTGACGCCCGACCTTTTGGAACCGCGCCAGGCATTTCATTTTCAAGCTCCAAAGCGTACATATTTTTCTTCTGAAACGACCATAATAGGAAAATACTTTTCCATTTCCGCGGCGAGACGAAGAATAAGTCGCAAGATCTCTCCCGACAACACGTGGATCTGTTGATTGAGTTAGGATGGATAATATAGCAGACAGATTTAGATCGTGGTATAATTGGAGTATTCAGCTGGCTGAGGGAACGAAACGATCAAAATAAAGTACGTCGTACGGAGAGACAGCTGACTGATCAACTCGTTTTGCATACTTCACTTCGATTCAACCTGTTTTTAGTCAGTTGAACAGTCGCGATCTGAATCTGCTCGCGATGCTTTTACTCTTACAATTAGGTTGTGATTCCATTACGAGAGAAGCTGGCTGAAATTAGTGTGTAGTACTATTGGCACGGCCGAGTTGTCAAATATTTCGTAGCACTTATTAATTGTAATATTTATTCCTGACCTGCAAACGATTCTAAGATGATCGTATCGTATAATGTCGGAAATTGTACGTACACCGTTATGTCATTTCTTTTCTGCATTAGAAAATTTTATTCGAATTGTGATTACGAAATTCCAAGAATTTGCCTAGCTGTTCTTTTCATCGTTATTTATTTAGTATATTTGCTCCTTCAGCTAAATTCTACCATCAAGTCTAAAGTTTGAAGAGCTTGTCGAGTTACCGAGTTCGACGAAATTGAAATATCACATTTCGTATATCGCGACCAATTCATTTTATTTGTAATTGTCTATTAAAATTCATGCAACTTTCTCCTGCACGATCTTTAGAACGACCTCTGATGATTTAGAATAACTTTCAATTGCAAAATTGAAAGTTGTGAGTTTGCAAGTACTCAAGTACATGACGTTGATTAATTTCTTTTGCTTGAAGCGTTTAGAATTCGTGTCGAAAAGTATCGACAAGTGACAAATCAAATTTTCACGACATATCTAGAAGATCGAGTTTAATAAGTGTCACTGGTCTTTCAAACATATTTTCAGGCCCGAAATATTCTGAAGTATCTGGAATGAAAATGAAATATCTTCATATTGGCAGCCAGATATAATCACATTGATCGTACAATAACGCAACATATAAAAATATATAATATATATACAACAATATATAATATATATACATATATAATATATATTTTATTGTATATATATATAGTATATATACAATAAAAAAATATAAAAATATATAATATATATACAACGTATATATAATAAAATATTTATATATACACAATGTATATATAATAAAATATATATATACACAATGTATATATAATAAAATATGTATATACAGTGTATGTATAATAAAATATATATACATATAAAAATATACAACATAGATAAAATACATTGTCACAGCATATAAAACGAAATAACATAAACCAAATACATAGATATAAAATGTGAAAGTCATATATATATATATATATATATATATATATTTATCAGACACAGTCTATGAATAGATAACAGAACAAAAAAAAAAAAAAAGGAAAAAATAGAAAAAGGAAAAGAATAGCTAGCATCCACGTAATACGATCCACGTTGCAAACTTTCCACCACAGTTTAAACAGCTGTTCAGTCCTAGAAATTTCCGTCTGTAAACCTATATACTTCCGGCTTCATTGTTCGCTCTCGTTAATCCCCACCATGTGCCGCGGGATCAATGAAGCAACAACTTTTCCCCGTGTTATGCTCTCACACCACGAGGGTAGGCTCTAGGTTACGGCGCATTTATCAAATATTAAACAGGTCGAAAGGTCGTATCGGTGGTGGTTACACGTCGGCCGTTTCCCAACTTTGTCGTCAGTCTGATTTCCCGGCTGGTCCGTGGCGGTTGACTCGCGCGCACGTTGCTCTTTTAGAAATCTTCTTCTTCGACTTCAGCTGCCTTTAAATCGTTCAATTTCCACTGATAAACGAAGTGGCCAGGAAAACCAAGTTCCGTGACCGAATCGCCGTTTCGTTTCGCGATTCGCCGGCGTGGCTCGTCAAGCTAGGGAACGAGAGTCGGTTTCTTCGGAAGATATGAGTATCCTCTTCATCGCTCGGTTGGCTTTCAAATCTCTGGGAGCGAGATTACGATCGTCGACGCGAGTGATATTTAAAAAACACCGATACTCGCGTGGCTTCTACTGATTACCAACCGAAAATCCGCTTCGACAGCAGCAGAAGCGAAACGTTCTCGTTTTAGCTGTAGAATTTTTACTATCGTCGCTGGTCGACGATATTTTTTAAACGTTTCCTATTAGCTGATTTCGAATTTAGAAGGGAAAATTTCTTTCTTTCTCTTTTTTTTCCCCTCTCGAGAATTTCTATCGGTTTTAAGTTTCTCGAAGTTTCTCTGGAAATGTTCAGAAACTCAGAGTGATCGATCTCTTGGCTCTTTCGATTAATCGATCGTCGAAGATTTCCTAAAGATTCGAAGGGAATCTTGAAAACTTGAGGTTTCTTTAATTCGGGACGTGGCTGTAAATGTAAAGACTGACTAGTCAGTCGTCTATTCCGAAGTTGTGTTATATTTAGCCTCCACTTTGTCACCGTGAGTCAGTGACTAATCATCGATCGGTATTTCATTTTACTTGGCGAAAAATCCTCCTGATAAATAAGTAGAGAGGAGCAACCTTTAAGCAATATATCACTCAGTTATCTCATCGTTGTCGCTTTTGAATCTTATTCTGTCACGCAGTTCGTTGTTGCAATCGTTTGACGAAGAAAGAAGAATTTCAACTGTGTTGTCGCACTTGTCCAATATTTCATTCGATTTTCTCTTTGCTTTCTCTGGTTCGTGTCGCAATTGCCAGAAAGAAAAGAGCAAAAAGCAGCACGCTTTTTCACTGGCCACTTCGTCAAAAACTATTCGATATATATATATATCGATATATGTACATATCATCCAAGTGAATCTCAGTTCATTACGATTTTTTGGAGAGTAGAAAATCGATATCGATACTGGGATAGACCTTACTGATATAACTGCACTCTAACTGAACGATAGAAAAAAAAGAAGATTTCACAATGGAGTTCGAAACGCGCGCTTTGATCGATTTTTGCTTATCATCTGGTCCAGTCACCAGGGCTAGGTATGTTCATAGAAATTCTCTAACGTAATTGTTATTAACTTTCATCCTTTCGTTCTGAAGAATTTATTTCTACTGCCGGTGGATCGCGAATATTCATGCACATGCATATTTTTATGAAGAGACTTTTTACTTTTATTAATCTCATCAATTCTTTCCATTATTTTTCTTTTTTTTTAAATTTAATTTACACTTGCATCAGTTGCATGATTTCATTGTCGAATTTCGAATATCATTGACAGCCGTTTTATCGAATCTTTTTAACATCCGACCTGCCGAGTAAATATGAAATCGACCGACTTGACAGAGAGAAACATTTGCTACGCGATTGTTGCTTAGAGGATAAAATGAAACGTTCTTGCGAAGGAAACGTTATCTCTGCTTGTTGTTAACGTCAGACTAATTTATTATGAAATCAGTGAGAAGGATTGAATCAATGAACTCTCGACTCGGAGGTTCAATGACAGGCTAAATGCAACAAAGTATATATAGTCGCGAGCAGAGACGATGGACGTCAATCTATCTACTCTAGTTATCCTCTGGTTATTATACTTCAACATGTTAATGCACGGTCGATTAAATATTACGTCTTAAATATAATTAATTAAAAGTACGATGTCAATCACTTCTTATCTCTCGCGCCGAACATTAGACACGTTTTTCTCAATCCTAGGTAAATTTTAGCGAATTTAAAAAACAAAAATATATCATGTGCTGGCATAAAATCAGTATTAAGAAACCCATTTCTTATCACACGTCGTCGTTTTTACTCTCTATATGTTTTCCCTGGACGTTGTAAATTGTTGTAAATTAAATTAACATCGCAATAGTGCGTAAGAAAGTGAAAAGAGATAGTTAGGAAGAAACGATAGTAAGTTACTGTACAATTTAGTTGACCTCGCGTGGATTCCACCTCGGTTTCGATACATTGGCGTAAAATTTTTTGATTGAGCGAGCCACTGATTGGTTTGGATCTGTATTTTTGCAGGTCTGCGGGGTCCATAGGAGCACGATCCGCGCCCAGCACGCCTCTTCAAGTAGCTCCTGGTGCGCAACAAGCGGGCCAGCAATCGATTAGCGGCTCACAGCTTACGGTAGCCGCTGCCAATAATTCGCAGCCTCCGAGGAGCCCGAGCCACGTGGCCTTGAGATGTAACGACAGGTGAGTCCTCGATCTTGAGTCAGTTCGCAGCTTTCTTTAACTCTTCAGTCACGTGGAAATCACATTCTACTTATCCCGTCGAATTGAAATAAAATCAATGCCGCGGTTATGAGGTTATGAGCGGAAAATTAAAAATCATTATTACTAAAATTAATACGCGGAAAAGTGAAAGTCATTATTACTAAAAATAATTAATACGAAATATATGTTAGACATAATATGGTAAATAATAAACTAGATATAATATATATTTATTATATATTTTATATTTTATATATATAGCATATATAATATTTATTACATATAATATATATAGTTTATTATTTACTGTATTGGACATAATACAGTAAATAATAAACTAGATATAATATATATTTATTATATATTTTATATTATATATATAACATATATAATATTATATTATATTTATTACATATAATATATATAGTTTATTATTTACTGTATTAGATATAATAGATATAATATATATTTATTATATATTTTATATTATATTTATAACATATATAATACATAACATATTTATATTTATTACATATAATATATATAGTTTATTATTTACTATAGTTTATTATTATATCTAATATATATTTCGTATTAATTTCGAAAATTTCCCTATAATATATTAGATATAAAAACAGTAAAAATAAACTATATAATTATTAATTTAAATGTAAAAAAAATTAACAATCGTACGAATTTAAAATGAATCGAAACTGTTTGATTTGTACTATTGAATCTGTCAGATCGATCGCGACCTCCGGAGAGGGTCAAGCACTGCAGGTCGTCTGTTTCTGGTTTGCATCGTTTAGAAATTTTATAAACTTGTCATATCGGCGGGTATTTGCAGATTTGAATTGCGGATTTTTCAGAAAATATATTCCACCATACGTATTATGCAATACATTTTCCTGCTCTTTGCATTTCAATTTTTTTCTCGATTGAAGTTTTATACTTGAACAGTTCTAGCGATGAACTTCAACCTTGAACTTTGCATAGGGTACTTGTTTCATCATGAGACACAACAGAACGATCAAAGGATAAGAATTTATTGTATTTATTGTATAGATTTGACAAGTCCATTTGATCCAAATAATTTACTATTATCAAATAAATAAAAAATTGAAATTTGTAATCTACAAGTCTATAATTTCGAGTTAGATTATGCACTGTTCTCCCTTATGCGCTGCACCAATTTTCCTAGCCTAGTTTTACATGGGGCCAGATGGTATCCTTGACGAATGGGGTTAAGACAATTACACCGACTGGCCATTTGTGAACTGTGCTTTATAATATGTTTATTGCATAACCTGGCCAAACATAGTCGTGGAAGGCTTCAAACGCTGTTAATCTTTCCGCAATTCTATATTAAAATTGATCGACGATAAATAAGCACTTCGTGTTTATTTAATGCGGCTTGGCTGTCGCATTAAATGAAATTTATTACCGCGCATAAAGTTCTTTATCGTACATGTATAATCGTAAAATTGCCATAGGTATATTTATTAAAAAATATCTGCAACGATTATTTCTGGCAGCCGTTGAGAAAAATTGACACGTGGAAGTTAAAAATTTATGATTGAAAATTTCTAATAATGTTTCTAATAATATTATCCTTGTTTATTTATTATTTATGTTATTTAATGTTATATAATTAAATCGTGATTTTTATAAACTCAAATTCTTTACGTTATGTACTGGAAACTACATTTAGTATCCTAAAACTACATTTGGTTTCCGAGTGTTTGGAAATTATAGCGTTCTTTATATTGTATTTTGAAATTAGTTTCATCTAACATTAGAGTTTAGTGACAAAATTATACTTTGGTTTCTGATTATTCGGAAATTATTACCAGTCATTATAGTGTTCCTTATATTTTGAAATTAGTTTCATTTAACATTAGAGTTTAGTGACAAAATATTTAAATATTTTATTATATATTTTAATATTATAAATTATTAATATTATAAATATTTTATTATATATTTTATTATATAAATATTTATTATATATTTTATTAAATTATGTTATTTTATTATAAATATTTATAATAAAATAACATAATTATATATTTTATTATATTATGTTATAAAGTTTAATGACAAAATTATAAATATCTTATTATGTATTTTATAAATATTATATATAATATATATAATATTTTATATATTATATATTTTATTATATAAATATTTATTATATATTTAAAATATTTTATTATATATTTTATTATATTATGTTATTTCATATTGTGATTCAACAAAAGTTGAACCAGGATTAATGCTAATACAGCCGATGATTATCGACGATTAAAGCGTAAAATTTGCACCGGAAGTATCAATGTAAAAGGAACAGAATACAGATGCTTTTATTTAACATCTCTACAAAATTCCCAAGAAAAATTATAAACTGGTTATTTTGATAATTTTCATAGTTGCAGGGTTAATACGAATCTGGGTAATAATGGTAGTTTTGATATCTCTGTCACTCACACATTGAATATTCTAGATTTTGAATAATTAGATTTCGCACTACGAATGGCTGTAGCAAAACTTATTGTCCAGGTTCTAAAAAATTTGTTAGTTGCGCTTGATAACGTATCGCTCGATATCGAAACACCTGTTCACACAAGAACGTGCAGAAAGCAAAATATTGCGTTGTTCATGCGACACCTGCCTGATAAAGATTCTGAGCTAAGAGGTGGCTTTTATGACTGTCGTGTCCTTTTACATATTCTCGATTTCATTGGCTGCCATTGTTCTGATCGATCGATCGATTCTAACGTCCAACGGTCTGGCTTTAAGCATGAATTTCTCATATTAAAGAATTTTATTTTTACTTTACTATACGTTTAGATTTGTAAGAGAAATTTTGACATTTAATTTAATAAAACTCGTTGCACAATTCAAGATAGATTTTGAATTCCTCAAGGAGAATGAAAGGCATTTCATACAGTTGACGCAAATTTAGATCTTTTTCTGTATGTTTGGAATTAGAATGTCACTAACAATGGCTGACTTTATGATTTATATACCAGATTATTAGGAATTACACTGCAGCCTATGCTCTAAATTGCAATCTCATTTTTGAAAGATGAAGATAACGAGCTTGAAATCATTAAAATGCTATCATATTTTTGAATGATAATCAAGCAACCAAAATTTAATAATTTTACTAGATATTTGTTCATTATCTTCTATCTGAATAAGTGAGACTTTTCTCAACGATCGTCCTCGTGAAAATTTTTGAAAGCAATTTCTACTTTTAATCTCGCAGAAAATATCAATTATATTTGCGCAGGTGTACAATATTTTATCGTTTGTCTTGTAAATCCTTGGTGTAATATGAGTGCTTGTAAATGAACAACGATTAAAGTAAACTATGTAATTTCTTTTATTTGAAAAATCTTCGTGTTTGTCTTCTTGAGAGCTGTTCACTGTTACTCTTTATTATCAATCGAATGTTTCCTTTGAATTCTACGGAGATGTAATCGGCAACATTAATTTCTATAAATTGTAACACCTGAAGTTTGGTAATGATATCACGCACATATAGAATGAGTCATAAATTTAGCGATAAACTATACAGATTCTTACAAGATATAATATTTTTCATGCAACTAATGAGTCATACTGCATCGTACTTCTTTCTATAGAAATCCACATCGTTTCAAATATGTAATTTTAAATCATGAAATAAATTAAAAATGCCAACTCTCGTTTTTCGTGTCTCAAGTTTAATTTGTTTCCTCGGTTTCGAATGCACGTGGCGATAAAAAGTTGATATAATGAAAGGACAGATATATCATTTCTTTTTGAAAATAAATGGAGGCAATTTCTGCGCATTTAACCATAAACGTACGATGCTTATGATAAATTGATAAATGAAAGGTTCAAGTAAAATTAATATTCGAAAGAGAGAAAGACAGAGAAAGAAAGAATCGACACGATAATATACGATACGATCGAACGATTATACATATACCAGGTTTGTTGCATTTGACGATACTCGATCTCGTCATTTATTTACATACTTCAATGCATCAACATCTCTTGCAAGATTTCATTGCGTCATACGTAAATATAAATTGTTATATACAAGAGTCAACGTTAATTATCATTGTATTACTCGTGTATCAAGCTATTTATTTTATTATTTTATTAATTATTTATTTTATTTTATTAATTATTTATTTTATTATTTTATTTATTTTATTATTTCATTATTATATATCTTATAAGTAGACTACAGATTTGTGATGTTAATTCGTATGAGAGTACAGTTGGTGGAAAATTATGTGTAATTTTAAAATTTTCTTTAGTCACGTAAATTTACTGGTACATTTTATGGTTACATGCACATAACATACACATAAATAATTACACAATGGTTAACACAAAGTCTGATATTCATTAGACTACGTAGATTTATCCATTCATACTTAAAATGTTAAAATTTAAAGAGTGCAAACACTGCTGCGGCAATATATTTCAAGTAAAATATTACCCGAAGGAGTATAAAACGAACCGAGTTGTATTTTTTGTATTGTTAATGAATTTTTCACAAGAAAAAAGAAATTGAAGTATAATCGTTATTAATACGGAATTTTTTTCAATTCTTCGTTGGAGATTCTCGTTCAAAACAAGATCGTAATCCTTTGAATTAATTGAATGTATTGATTAATTGAATGTAATTGAATAAAGATATAAAATGATGTCTTATATAATATTTTTTAATATAATACATTATATAATATTATATCTTACATGATATTTTATATCATACAGCCAATAATTTTGTACTATATTAATATAGTTTTGTATCGAATAATTATAATTAAATAATTTATCTATTATATTATATTTATTATATATTATATATATTATATTATATTATATTATATTATATTATATTATATTATATTATATTAGTCTTATGTTATGTTATATCATATTATATTATACTATATTATATTATACTATACTATATATTATTATTACTTACTATATTATTATTATATTATATTATATTTATATCTCGTCATTCTATAGTTTGCCCTCTGCAACAAAGATAACGATCAAAGAGTGAAAAAATACACACATCACATATGTGTCGTTGAATAATTATCATTAATCATAAATATAACAAATATAATAAACACTAACAAATTACTCTCACGTTTAGGAATATTTTAAGACAGGCTCCTCTATTTCACGATTTATCATCAACGATATCATAAAGAAATTACAACAGCAATGCACACTGTCCGTCAAATGAGACTTATCGCGAAACTTTTTTTCCTCTTTCGAAGTTTTCTTAATATTCAGTCAGGTATTATCGATATCAAATGCCCGGCTCGATAACATCACGATATATCCTGGCGTTCGTCAGTCTAATACAACACGATACGCGACACGTTTGCCAATCGATACACCGCGACCGTGATCGTCGGTCAAAGTCTTGCGGCGTTTCCTGTACACGCAACGTATCGATCATCGTTTGTACAACTTATTGTTGTCAAGTCGGACGAGAGAGATTCAATCGAGAAGACGAAAATTAAATGGAAACGAAGGTTGAAAATACAGCGAATTGATAATTGAACGTGTGCAAAGTTCGCACTTGGGGAACGAAGAGGCAACGTGTTGAGATTAAATTGAGAAAACGGAAATTAAACGGGAGAGAAGGTTGAGAGGCAGAAACGAAAGTATAGTCGAATGTTTGAAACGCTGGTGCATGATTCTGGCGGTGTTTGCGAACCAAGATGCAACTAAGGGCTAAGATTAAAAGACGGAAATTAAGAGAGAAAGTTGAAAATAAACAGGGAGGAAAAGAAAGTGTCGTCGAACGTTGATTATTGCCACCTGGTTTCCAGTGGTTTCAGCAATATTTTTAGCAATAAAATATTTATTTAATAATCAAATATTTTCCTTAAGGAACGAGGAAGATAAACGGGGCAGAAATTAAACGAGAAAATCACGATTGAGTAAGAAGGAAAATAATCGAGAGGAAGAACGTGTGATCGAAAATTAAATATCCAATTCGCACCTGGCTCCAATGGCGTATTTGGAGAAGAAACTATCGAGAAGAAAAGAAATGAACGAGAAATCAAACGAGCACGGATTGAACTCTTAAGGGAATCGAAATTGTGCAAGAAGGACTGAATGAACAACGAGGAAAGGAATCAACTGTCAGAAAAGAAGAATAAAACTTGCAATTTAGAGGAAATTAAATCGATCCTAAAGCGATTGAAATATACAAAATACAGGAAAGATCGAAATTAAACAAGAGAGAAACTCGAAACTTAAACGGTGAGAAAAGAAGTGATAAATCGACGTGGAAATTCTGAAGAGTCCACAATCAATCGATTATAAGATGTGTTTCTCGTTTTGTTTCTCCTAAAGATATCCTCTTCTTCGTGAATATTGGAATAAAGACAGGAATCTTCTTTCACAAGGAATACGTGTTATATTAATCTTCGTTGAACAGCTGAGTCTAAGACGACGTGATATGTTTTCCAGCGAATTCAGTTACCAATATATCGCATCCTCGATGTCTCGTCTTCGATCGTTGCTCGACCTTAATTTGTATTAAGCTGACTGGTAGCAGGGCCGCAATTAACGATCGAAATAATTCCTTGGAACGTTCTCGTCGACCAATTGTACGCCAGTTTCGTCGAAGGTGGCTAACGATTCGTTTCGTCGAATTGTCAATCGTATATAACGTGTCGCAAAATAAACCGGAACATCTTCCGCGAGGAAGATCTCGTTTTGGTTTCTGACGGATCTGTGGAGTCTTGGCCACTAAGATTTTTAGTTCGTCCGTCAGATCCGTCGCCATGGTTTTCCAATCGCGTTCCAAGTTCTACTCGGAGTACGACGTGTGGAGCAACGATATCTGGAGTCCGAAGATTCGGAAAAGAAGGTGCGAACAGTGCTTTGTGTATAATTGTCTGTGGACGTTTATGAGAAAAGCGTTACAGCAATCATTTGTTTATAATCGGTAAATTGTAGATTTTCATGGCATTTTTGGAAAAATTTAGAAGAACATACGTTGATTATTTAGTGGATGAAACAAGTTTCTACTTGGGCTGTAATTTCCAATGTTTGTTCTACAGTTTGAATATATTTTTTCACGAAGAATCGTTCCTTTGTCAATTATAATTACTGACTTTGCAATGTATTATATTATATTATTATATATGTCAATTATAATTACTGACTTTGCAATATATTATATCATATTATGTTATATATTATATTATATGTATTATAATATTGCATTAATATTATTATATTACAATATTATATAATACATATAATATAATATATTATAATATATAATATAACATAACATAATATAATATAATATAATATAATATATTGCATAATTTGCAAAACATTCAAAGCAAAAAATTCTAAATCTTCAAAGATATATATTCATTAAATATGTATAAATATATGATGAATATGAATATCTGTGAATACAGATATGATTTTTATCTATACAATTTTATCTATACAAAATACAATTATCCGTAATTAATATATCAAAAAATTTCATTATAATTGTAGAAAGTAAACGAATGTCTATTTAAACTCCATTTCTCTAATTGCGTACATAGAAATATGAATCTGCTTGAACATCTGCCATATAGTAATGATTTAAAATAAGAGCGATCAGTCATAGTGACGCTATCGGTGACTGCATTGCATGAAAATTAACGTCATCGAGAGAGTTTACTTTAATTATTGAGAAGAGACGTCTCAGTTGTTACTAGTGTCTATTAGTTTGTGTATTCGAAACTTGCGTGAATAATCCAGTGGTGAAAAATTTATTTTTCATTTTCATTCGTTCTACTTGAATTTCGATAGGTTGTTAGTAGCATGTTGTATACAAACTGTATTCGATTCTGCGCGAAAAATTGATTTCAAGAGGAAAAGTAAAAATTTTTTCACATAAAGCTTCCCTTTGGAGAAAATGGAGCTTGAAAATTTGTCAGGTATATTTGAATTTGGTTAATTGTGGATAGAAGAGAATTGTTGACAAGCGTAAAAGTAAGTAAAAAATGTGGAATAAAATTTTGCCACTTGAGATCTCATCTTACAGATTTCAAAATTTAATCTTCTAGAAAACGGGGTGTTTTATGAGAGAAAATTTTAGTTTACATTTTTTGAGACGCGTGGCATTATTGATTATTCGCTCTTGTTTAGTATAATTAGCCAAATTCAAGTGTACGTGACAAATTTTCAAAGCCGATATTCTCGAAAACGGAGAATTGAAAAAAATTTCTTAGTTATTTCTTCTTTCCGACTTTTTCGACGTAGAGTCATCCTCTTTCCGGTTGTTCCAATTTTTAAACGTTCCAAATTATTATCTCGAATAATTTAATATCTTCTAAATAGTTAAATTTTAAATTTCACGTCTATAGATGTATAGATTTTAGAATTTCAGTTATATACCTAACCACAAATTATCGATCTTCGCCAAACTACAGCTTTTTGCTATCTGTAAGATCATTTTAGTTATACAGTGTATGTTATCAACAATATCAGATTTTTTTAGTTGAATATCTTATTGAGGTATCAGGAGAACGCAAGAAAATCGGTTTTTTCCCCCTCGAAATAAATGTTAATCTACAATTTTCTTATTCGCGTAACTTTTTTCGTACTTTATATATATATAAATATATATATAATACTATATATATAAATATAATATATATATAATACTATATATATAAATATAATATATATATAATACTATATATATAAATATAATATATATAATACTATATATATAAATATAATATATATTATACTATATATACTATTATAGTATATTATACTATATATACTATAATACTATATTGTACTATATATAATATTATACTATATTATACTATATACTATATATACTATATATACTATTATACTATATTATACTATATATACTATTATACTATATTATACTATATATATAAATATAATATAACATTTTCCAATTTAAAAAAAATTTCTTTTTTTCATTCTTTCAGTCATCTTTCTAAACCGCTCAGCAGAAGTACACCATCAATGGCAGCTGGTGGTGTAACGCAGGCTCCACCAAAGGTTAGTAGATCTTCGTCGACATCGTCACCAACGACTACCAGCAGCGCGAGACAGAAGAAATTCCACAGGCATTTCTCTCAGGTAATTCGCAAGAGTTTCACTCACATGTTCGTTCGAGCTTCTCGCCTTCACGACAAAGATTCACCGTATTTTTCCTTGGCGAGTGGGAGAAAAAAATTTTTAAATCAAATAACACAGATAGATGGTCATTTCTAGAAATACTGTGTGTTTGATATTTACATAAGTATTACACATCCTTGAGGTAAAAGGAGATGTACGTTGTGAAACTTTCAAGAACCAAAATCAAACGCCTGATTTTAAATTTAAATTTAAATCATTTTCTATATAGTCATTCCACAGAGCAGAGAGTTAATATCGCATCGTTTGTTTCTGAAAATTCTTTCGCTATCGATTGAAAACTCCACTCGAACGTTGTTTAGCTTGATTTCTTCTTTTTATCCCTGCGAATATCGATAAGTACAATCTTCTCTCGATCGTAATTGGTTTCTTATCGCTTTTGGCTTCTCGTAAATATGTTACAGATCCAAGGTCCATCACGTTAGTTTGATGTATTAGAGTCGTATGAAATAAAACGTGAATGTGTTGACACGTTCACACTGTCCAGGCCTCGGGCCAAGTTTTATAATTTATCGACGTGGCAGAGAAAAGATCGTGACACTACGATCGTGTCGACACAGTCTGTGAATGAATATAATATTTCGATACGTACATCTATACTTTACTAATATTCCGATACTAGCGTCATTTTAATCCTCGCGTAGCCGACACCGTTGACCCAGAACTCGAATCAAAAAAGCAAAAAAGATCCAGATGCTATATACGCAAAGAACATGCAATATAATACAACAACGTCGTACGTACGCAGTGCACATGAATGAAAAAATGTGTCATAAAATATAAATAAATATATAAACATAAATAAAAAATATGTATAAAATTTTACATTTTTTAGACAAACTCCTCTCCTGCCCATATCACAGACATTATTAGATAACATCCTTTACTAAAAAGTTAGGTGCAGAGCAATTACAGTAAAAATTCAGTCATGGGTCAAAAGTGGCCCGGCATCGCTCAATTACGTCGGCTACGCGAGGGTCAATAGACTTTCAATTCAGAAAGCATTTAATCTATGAGCTATGTATTTGGCGCAGGTCGCTGCGGACGAACGGGTGTTGAACTACTATAGTTGCGCGCTGGTAGGCGACATCCTGTTGCAAGGGCATCTGTACATCACGCCGAACTACTTTGCGTTCTACAGCAACGTGTTTGGCTATGTGACGAAGCTACTGATACCTACGGTTTCCGTGTTGAAGATCAGCAAGGAGAAAACAGCACGGATCATTCCAAATGCCGTGGCGATCTCCACGGAGGAGGAGAGGCATGTCTTCTGTTCCCTTCTGTCCAGAGACTCGACCTTCAAGCTGATGAAACAGGTTTGGGACGCGGCGATGGAGCCACAGCCGTCGCCAGCGATTCTACCGTTGACCAACGAGGAGAAGCTCCTCGCTCCAGACACGCTGGTCGTCGATGACTCCGAGGTGAACCCCGAGGAGGATGATTCCAGCATGTCTGAAAGCGGGACGGATCTGAATACCAGGCCGCCGACCGTCTGCACCGACACCGATGGCGTTCCATTGCCAATTGCCAGGCCTAGTTTGCCGCCACCTGCAAAGTAAATGAATATTCTTTCCGTATCTTTCACGGTGATTGGTTAGACGTGTGTTATCGTTCGTGAAAGTATTCGAGTTCCCTTATATAGAAATTTTTTAATGACATATATTTAATAAATAAATATTTTAAATATATTTAATAAATAATTATTAATAAATAAATATAAATATTAATATAAATATAAATAATTATTGTATAATGATATAAATATAATATGATATAAATTTATTTTTTTATGAATATATATTAGATACGTGTGCTATGATTTTGTAAGTTTGTTAACGAGACATGATGACTCGTGGATATAGAATAGGTATACATATTATAGATATTTTAAATATATATGCTGTAATTTTGTGAGAAAAAGATTGTACACCAATTTACTCAGACTCGGTCGCTAAAGCGTGAAATCTCTGCTTTCAGAGCTTCTTTCAAAGATATTTTCATATCATGTTTGAGGGGTAAAGATACTCTTTCTCTCGGAAATTTTGAAAAATTCAAACATCTTTACGGACACTGAAAAAATTTCTTTTGTAACGAAATTTACCACAATCTTGAAGATTATGATAATCTCCTAACAGATTTTCACCCCATATATTACAAAAAAAAATATGCGAAAATATATTACAAAAAAGCAATTGTTATTACATGCAAACAGCGATATTTGATGCATTTTCAAGTCATGTATCAAAAATACTACACACTGGGCAGTGATGAATTTAATTAAAATTTAATTTAGAAAAAAACTAAAATTAAAATTAAATTTTAAAATGTTTTTCATGAAGTGTACAAATACTATATGAGCTATAAGATATTTATATTACAAATACAATATATATAAGATACTAGATATTACAAATTTACAACGAGTCAACTATTTATTTAAATGAAATTATTTACAAAGCAATTGAAAGAGATTTCGTAATAAAATTTCATATTTACTTGAATCACGTTAAAAATATTTTACCTTATAATCAACTATTTTCGAAAGACTTTTAATAATTACCTGTCGCTAACTGTTTGTTAATTTTTCAGGGTGGAACCATCATCGGTGTCGATGCTTCCAACAACGTCCAACAGATCCAAAGTCGTCCTATCCTTGTTCACGGATTGTTTGAAAACTAGCACAGTGATCACCATCTTAATAGCTCTTCTAGCAGCTCTATACGTGTCGGCGGCTCTGATGATGATTCGCATCGACAGGTTACACACAGCGTATCTAAATCATCCGCTCGTTTCGCCGGAGCGTTTCACTCAGGATCGACTTTTGGACTACCTTAATACAAATCTAGATCAAATAGTAAAGGTACGATTATCTTCTTTTATCTCGGAAATGTGGATGGTACTAGCTTATCCTATAAATAGTATAAGTGGTTGAGAACATTCGTCTTTAATTCAAATTACAAATTACAAATTCAGATTTTATTCTTTTACTAAGTTACTTTTGTAACATGATAGTACCATTCGTGGTTAAATATTGAAAAACTGTGCAGGTTTCTCGCAAGAAGAATATGACAAATACACTTTTGTTGACTTTTTTATTTTATTTTAAGCATTGAAGTACATTCCTATTTTTTTGCAAACTAAAGTATTGAAAAGAAGGAAAAGATGAAGAAGAAATGAGGAGGACAGCTGGCTCACGTTCCAAGGATAATTAACAAAAAACTAGCAGTGTAATTAAGTTACAACAAGTTACATTTTAATATTGTAATAAACAATATATTTAAAATTTATTTAAAATCAAATGAAAAGGCAATTTTGATACCAACAAGATATCTACTGAATTTAAAAACTTGCTCCTCTGTAAAAGATAGAAGATTTGTTTAATCATATCCTTCCCCAGAGGCCCTCCTCACATTGTCATCGATTTAGGAACTTAACCAACAATAAATATTCATTGTTTCAGGTACGACAGAGTCTACAGACGCTGTCGCAGCAGTTCGTGTCGATGGGTCAAAGCGGTGAAACAGAGCCGAGCGTATCCGGTGGCGTGTTAGAGCCGGAAGACGCTCCGAGTTAGCCCCCGACGAGGCTAAATAATTTAATGCAACCAAATAATACGAGTCCCCGTCGCCTCGCTAGCGTATGAAGCGTCTCGTATTAATACGTCGTTGTCTTCGTGGTCGGCGTCGATTATAATCGGCGTGCGAAAACGATCTCGATTCGGGCGACTGATTGACGGTGTCGCTTCGACGATCCTCAATAGGCAATTGTTATCATTAGAGTACCTAGACTTATCTGGACAGATTCCGAGGATAATAGATTGTTCAGAGTAAAACGATAAAAGAAGACAAAGCTTAAAAAAAGAAAAAACAAAAAAAAAAAACAAGAAAAATAGAAAAAAAAGATGAAAGTGAAAAAAACGTGCGTTGAGGAATTTTCGAACAGGGGAATCGTTAATAGGATTCCTTCACACCTAGATTTGAGAAGCATGCGTAACTCGAGTCTTAATTTTCAGTCACGCTTGCAGAATTTAAATAAGACGCTTAAATGCAGTAACAGAGATAAAAAAAAGTTTATATATATATATGTATATATATATATATATATATATATATTTAAAGAAGAAACGCCATATATACGATACATGTGTACGAATGTTTGCAAGACAAATTGTACGATGTATGGATATGACGATGAATTGTCGAACACGAAGCAAAAAAAAAAAAAAAAATAGAGAGAAAAAAGAAAGAAATATTCGAGCGCGCAACGCGAGCGAAGGGATTTTCGTTTTTTTGAACTAGTCACGTATTTATATATTACCCCACGTACAACAAGAGTATAATGAACAAAGTGGAATATATATATATACCTTATATTATATATTATATATATAATGTATGATAGTGTAATATTATATGTATATTATATATATAATATATTCTATATTATAAAGAAGCTATATATATATATATATATATACATATATATATGTATATGTATATGTACATATATATATATACACATACACACACACACATAGATATGCATATTTCGCGATTACTTGTTGATTATTATATATCTGATATATCTGAGCTAGTTCAGGCACTACCTTTTTCATCGATACAACTGGCAAAAGAATTGCATTATAGAATTAATAAGGTGGTTATACACATTTGTGTCGCAGAAAACGAGAAGTTCTGTATTGTATCGTGACAAGTGAAAGAGTACCAAGAATGAAAAAAAAAAAAAAAGAAATTTCTTATTCAGACGAGCTTGTGCAGTACTCCGATCGTTCGGAATACACGCTATTTTGTCGTCGAACATCGAATACTGCGCCTTTTAGACAAAAAGAGTTAAAATGAAAAAAAAAAAAAGATGAATAAAGAAACATTGCATTTCCCGCGCACACTGGTGTTCCTACGAAAAAAAAAAAACTTTTCTGATCGTTCGTTCGGAATGGTAACGAAAGGGTAGTTTCCTTTATTTCTCTCTTTCTTTTCGTATTTTTTTTTTTTTTTTTTTTCTTTCTTGACTTGACTCTTTCGAGACTCATTCTTGACATGCGAAAGTGCTCGCGAAATATTTCATTCACTTATGAGCGTATTTCAATGACAGTTGCACATATGTTCTTCTATGTATGTGTGAAACAATACGAAGAAACGTTCGGACAAAGCGTTATTATAATTGCGGTTATAAAATATGGGATACGAGAAACGGGAGACTTGACTGTGATAGTAGGATCGAGGATCGCATTTTGTTAAAACACGACCGCGTTTAGCAGATTCGTTGTGTGTTTGTCCCATTAAAAGAAAAATGAAGTAACTAAATAAATAAAAAAAGAAAAAAAAAAAAAGAAACCTAAGGTAAAACGAGAGACTGGTTGTTACGATCGGACCAAAAAAAAAAAAGAAAAAAAAACTGGCGTAAACGCGGTCGTCATTGCGCGAGATCGCGTGGGATCTAAAGAGAAGTGCTGTTACATTATTTAGCTAATATTTATAAAAAAAAAAAAGGAGGAAGAAGAAAAGAACTATGCGTACGTCAAAGTGAAATTTCTTTGAACCATTGTTTCTTTCGATATCGTTGATCATTCATTGCAGTTAAACGATTGTGATTGTATTTACCGATATATAAATGATGTTAATTTTTTTTTTTATGATTTTAAAACACACACACACACACACACTATGCCTTTGCTATTGTAAGTTTTTTTATTCTCGTTACGTTCGCGAAACGTGTATTTTAAATTATAAGGGGAAAAAGGAGAAGGCGATAGAAGAAAAAGAAGAAGAAGAAGAAGAAGAAGAAAGCGAGAAGATATAGAAATATTGGGGATATATTTATCTGGTGGCAATTTAGCAGACTATTTAATTTATTTTTACCTGTTTTTAATTACAGACTTATATTTTGAATATTTCTTTTCCTTTTGTATATTTTACGTTCACGTTGATTAAATTCGCTGGAAATTTATGGTTGTACATGCCTTTTTAACGCGTGGGTTACTCGCGAGGGAGTGGAGGAGATACTTGTGCCTGGCGTGTGCCGTAATGGAAGAAAATCGGCTGCATTCTAAAATAGAGAAAAGGAAACATACGGGGGATTCGTTCATATTACGATTTACATCGAATCTTATTTTCTCTCATTCTGTTAGATCGAACGCGTTTGAAATTGAACGGTGTTGTTAATATTAGATCGATGCGTATGAAATGTCGTTTCTTCGAAATACCAGTTTGTCAGTTGAATTGGAATACTTGTGAATATTTATTACTGATCAGAGTCAAATATTGTTTCAAATTTATGTCGAATTTAAGTCGCGAAACCAACCACTACTTATTACTTGGAGCTAACTCCTCTTTACAGCAAACGAAATAGAATATGTATAAAAAATAAGGCTGCCTCATTCTTGCTGCAAAAATTTTAGTTATTAATTAAATAACTGCATTAGTTATTAATTAATCAACTGCATTAAAGGAGGAGAAATTTACTATGCACGCATATTCAATTGTTAAAAACACCTGTAATAAATATAATCGAAACTTTATCGTAATAATCAGAATAGTTCTGCAATTTTATCATGGTTAGAGTTTCTTCGAAAATTACACTTGAGGAAAGTCTCACCTTATGTTTGGAAAAACGACACTTCGTATACACCGATCTAATACGGTACAGAAGAAAATAGTGAAAGCTGGACGACATTCGTCATTCGAGAGTTAAGAGGAACTAGAGGAAACATTTAAAACTGTCTGACAAAACTTGACGACATATTTCGAAACTATTGTAACTTCTTGCATAAAGTGTAAAGCATTGTTTTTTTTTTTTTTTTTTTTTTCTGTAAGAACTTATCTGCATCATTCTACTAAAAGTCACTGAAGAATTATATAACCAAATAATTCGCAGATGTTTATTGAACGATTAAATGGAGAAACTATTTTTAAGGATGACTAGTTGGTGACAGTTGTCCATTGGATCTATCTGTGGTCAGCGTTCCGTAAAATTTCTAACGGAAACCAAGTCTATTAAAGGGCGTTTCTCTCTTTCCGTTCTCGTACGAATATCGTTCGCCTTAATTGCGACGTTTTCTAGACACTTTCAGAGCGATGCTCAACGTGCAACCTCGTTATTCCTAGAACATGTATCCGTATATAACAGCTCTTGATTTGTACTTGTTATACGCGCACGAATTGTTCGATTAAACTTGCTGTACTTTTTCGAATCTGATGTCGTTAAGCAGTTCGATCAAATTGATGGAACTGATGTATGGATCAGTGGTGATCATTGTCTCAGACACAATAGGTCGAAGCTAATAGTTTCTTCTTTTTGTAAATTCCTGATTTTTGGAATAAAATAGTGATTATTTATACGAGGTATATTTATACGATAGTATATATCAAATGTCATAAAAATTTTGTCCCTTCCATTGTTCGAAAAGAATAGAATTATTGTTAAATTTCAATTGATGAATTACAATTTGTTTCTTGTCCTCGCAATGTTAAGTTTGATGAGATTCGTTTGCTTGTTATTACAATTTTGTTATTACAAAATATTAATCTTTTAATTCATGGTAAATTAAGAATTTGTTATAAATATTACAATAATGTCGAGTTATTAACTTATACTGTAAATATTACATTACTTTACTCTCAGGTTAATGTTTTATTTTCTGGTATAGTGTGCTTTTATAACAGTATTGTCCGTAGGGGAAGTAATTTGTATAATGATACATGTATAACTACGATAATGTAAAAGTTTATTCGGTTATTTAAATTATTCCCTTTTTCTGTTTCTAAATATTTTATCCATCTACTATTTTATTGAGTATTCTAATTGATAGCAAATGTTAAATATTAATATTAATTTAATATCTTAATATTAGATATTTTAATGTTGTTAAATATTTTCCAAAGTTTCTTGTTCATGTTCCTTACGATTCTTTTCTTTTCGAGCAAGAAATTATCAGTTTGATTTCATTTGCAAATTATTGTAGTTGACAATAGGGGAACATTGTTAAAGCTTGGAAAGAAACTGTTTGACAAAAATTCAAATTTTAATTACATTTGATCTATTTATTGTTCTATAATTTACAAAAATATATGAAGATCACAAAACAGAGGTAAAATTGCGCTTTAATTGAAGTTGAAGTGTCAAACTACTTTTTTTATTCTTATTTTTAAGACACTTGTATCTTTATTTAACTAATTTCACTTTCTTCTCTTCAACCATATGCCAAAAAGTGGATCTGTCATATTTCCTCATTGTGGAATCTTCATATAAAAAGAATCAATATAATACATTTCAGTGTCGAATGTACCAGTCTAAATAATTACAATGTTTTTTTGCTTAGTCACGCGAATCAGATTTTGAAAACGTGCAGCTCTTGTCGACGAATTGTACCCTTTGCGTAAATGAGAAGAGAGCAAATTTGTTACACTCAGCGTAGACGTCTTTAGAATGCATTTGAGAACGTGTGTTGGTTCCTGGTGAGAGATATACGTACTTGGTTGAACGAATGAAGGGAAGAGGCGAAGGTGAGAAACGAAGGGAAAGAGGGCAAATGGAAGACCGTACAATTTGAAAATCACAGACAGACCAATAATTTACAACGTAATTTGTGTAGTCCGATGAGACGGAGCGCAAATAAATTTATGGAAAAATTGAGGCACCAATTTTCTTCGCTTTTTCAGCCCTTCCTCATCTGTGCGTGCACGCGATATCAATCGCATGGAAAACCACAACATCCATTTACGTTTACAATACGAGCTAATTAGCAATATATATCAAACCGATAAGATAATATTTCGTTAATGTTTCCTTTGTACGTAAAGTCGAGATTGAAGTACTTTTCAATAAGTATCTTCCTTTCGTTTTTGTTTAAGAAAGAATTTACTTTCTAGGAAAAGGGTGGTGTGTCAAACCTTGAACTATAATGTCAAAATTAACATTTCGTACACACTTTTCCTTATACGAAAGGAACATCACTCTCTTTCGTAAATAATCTATTTTTTTTTTTTTTTTTGGTGGCTTTAATTAATTTCATACTTAAATATATTTATTTAAATTTTTTTATATTTAGTGCTTCATGATATATCTTTTAGCGTTTTATCAGTGTTATGTTTAAGTATTATGTTTTATATTAACATAATGATTATTTTACAGAAGAAAGTATTTAAGAAAGAATAAATTTTCTACCTGTTGAGATGAAATGAAAAGAATTATTTCACGATATCGGATGAAACGAGCTGCTGAAAAATCAGAAGCGGTGCAACTATCGTAGTGGGGATTGTAGTTAGCTCGAAGCAGCTTGTTCGTATAAAAAGACAGAACATCCATGAATGTCAGTGCAGTGAGTGTAAGTTAGTTGTTAATCGTGGTTCGTCTCTCGTCTCCAGAATCGAAGAAACGTCTCCAATTTTCCGATTGTAATTTGTAAGTTTAACAAACTGTTTTTTTTTATTTTCTTCTTCATTTTTACAATATTAATTTTTACAATATGTCCGTCAATTTTAATTTCGCAAAATAGGAACGAGAAGAAAATTAAATTCACATTGAAAATATTTGTCATCACATGATTTTATTTAAATAATTGGAGTCGAATAGTATATTGAGAAATAAAAGATTGTGACAAATTAATTACAAATTGAATAATAAAATATTTAAAAATAAGCAATAATATATATCTCCTAAAACTTTTGGATTCTTATAAGTACCAAAATAACAAAGTATGTATATTAAAGACTGATGAATTCATTAGTTTGTGTCGTTCTTCAAGTTTTACAAATTTTTTTGATAAATTAATATAAAATTTTCTTACAAAGTAACAGTCGCGATTTTAATGTATTACCTTACATAAATAATTTAATACAAAAAAAAGAGAGAACTTTTTAATTAAATTGAGAATATATAATAATCATATATAATGCAGATATTTAATTAATTTAAACTATATTTAAATTAAAATTTAATTTTAATTTAAACTTAATTATAATTTAATTACAATTATATTTAAATGACATTGAAATTAAATTCAAAAACGTTGTATACACAAAGATTACTTCATACCAATGACATATTTTATTTATTCATCTTTTCAACGAAGTTGGAAATCTGAGAATTCATCGAAGAAATGCGTGAATCACTTTCGAGAGTCATTGATTCCATTCAGGGGTGAAACACACCCGTTTTGTAATGCAGCACACGTTCTTGGATTCCGGATATTTGCGCAACAATTGGATGAATCAAAGGTAAATTCCAAGTTGTCTTGCAATTGAAAACACGTCTGGTATTTCGGGGACAGGACTCGTTCACCATGTTCGATGCTTCGTGATTACCATTAACATCCCATTCTTGGAGAACATAAACTGCAGTTTATGTCTCGACGTGTGCTTACATGATAAATCGGGGAAAAACTGAATTTTCAATAGTTGATACATCAGTCAATTAATAGTTAATCGGTATATACTAAATTTAATAATTAAACTGGAATTAAAATTAAATATTTCAGTCAAAAAAGAACTAATTAATATTTTTGAACTTAATAGTCGAGTTAATTTTAATTTTGCTGAATGTTTTATTTAACTCAATTGATATCATGTTGTATATTAATTTTTTCGATGATGGCATTATAGTCGATCGAATTTCGATGAAATTTAATGGACATTTAATTAAACTTTTGTTTTTACAGACGAACTTATAAAAACGAGATGAATATTCCTATTTTTCAAGTAACTGGTTATCTCTTTAGTTACGAATAATGTATTTGTAAAATTCAATTACTATCGACTACCGAAAGAAAAATTAAATACGAATTATGAAACATAATCTTAAACTTTCTATCATTGATATAAATTTGTATCATTTGTAACGACTTTGAAGGGGACAAAATTTAATGAATTATATCTTCAATAAATATTTTTATTAATGACGTTGGAAATTTAATCTAAGCGCTCTGATACGACTAAAATAAATACGATCGTTGCGCATTTCGACAACGTTAAATCACTCCTCGTTTTACCGAATGTTTAATTCTATACCTACGTTCGATGTACATCGTTCAATTGAAATATTTGAACAAATTTTACTATTTTGAAAAACGAAAATGTCAATATGTTTTATAACATTAAATAAATAAAGTAAATAAAGAGAGGAAGGAAAGTTAATAAAAAATATGATAGATAAAAATTATCTGTTATATAAAATTAATTATTTATGTATATTAATTGATAAAAATTATCTATTAATATACGTAAAATAATCTATTACTATACATAAATTATCTATTAATATATAAATATCTATTAACATAAAATATCTACTAATATACGCAAAATAAATTAGCTGAGAAAATGTTTACAGTAGCAAAGACCTTGTTCTTCGAATGAACATTTCTAAACAAGGTGAGAATTCTTGCGAGGCTGATGTTAAACGTCTGTTCTTGTTTCTAATAACAACGTTGCTAAATATAACGAAGATATTCTCCTTCATTGTCAGGTTAAAGCCGGCATCGTTTCCTTGTTTTATCACATTCCAGTTATTAATGCGTAAGGTTTTCGAAGAATTTGTCTATCAGTGAAGGATGCTTCCTGTTTTGTCACCACAGTGCTTTTAATGAACTTGAACGTGACATGAATGAAAGTAGTGTGTAAAGTAGTATTATAAATCTTCGATACTATCATTCGTACAATATATATACACTATATAGTATGAATGAGAGCATAACTATTTCTAGTGAATGTGGTAACGCACGGTTCTTCGCAACGATGAATAACCGTACGTGTGTTATTATTTTTTATCAGTTCACCTTATGTCACAAATTAAATGAATCAGTTCCGATCTGTCATGATATATTGTTGACTATGTTTGGCTAATTTAAGTCAAACAACAATTGGTTTTCTTTCACGTGTTTTATTATTTTAACTCAATTAGTTTATTTGTCAAAGAGTTTTATTATTTTTACTCAATTAGTTTATTTGTCGAGATTTAGATAGAAATAAAAATAAAAAAATAATTGAGTGAATGTGTTAATTAAGTACAATGTTAATTACAACATTGAATATTTTTTGTATTATCCACACGTATATATGTTGAAGTTATCATAAAAATTCGTCATAATTTTTTTATAAAATTATTCCTTAAAGAAAGAATTTAATTGCACAATATACAATTTCGCGAACCCGTTGAATTTTGAGCCTTATCATTAAGGCTTCGCGAAATTTATCAACTATTAACATAAATCTTATAAAATGTTTCACACATGTTCGTACTAAATGTCTTTGACGAAGTATATACAACCTAATAGTAGTTTATGTTCAAATAAATGAACTCAATAAACTTGAGTTCATGTTTATATATAATAATATATATTTATATATAATAATTTTTATATATTTTTATATTATTATTATAAATGTGTAAAATAATTTTTACATTATTATTATAATATGCAAAATAATATATAATATAAATATAATATATAAAAATAAAATATATTATATTTTTATTTTATATATAATACTTTTACGTATTATATCTTTTAATAATAAAAAGGTTTAAAATTAAAATTTAACTCGTACAAACCGAAATCGAAATTGTAGTGCAGACGACCATAAATATCCCCAACCATTTGTTTGTTCCCAGTTAAGAACAGAGCCAAAAGTCAAAATGTCGTCGGAGGAGCCATTAGTCGTCGAGATGGTCTATCTTTATGAGAAAGACAACGCGAAGCTGCATCACACCATCAATTACGAATTGGTGCACCTTGAACCGGCGACACCCGTCCTCAGGAGGGGTCAGTCATTTCACGTAGCCTTGAGATTCAATCGGGAATACGTAGATGAGACCGACATCGTCAGATTGCTGTTCAATTTCGGGCCAAATCCGAACGTTCTTAGAGGAACCAGAGGTGTGAACACCATTACCTACAGAGACAGTTATTTGACCGATTTGGAGGCGTGGGGTGTTCGTTTGGTGGGTGTCAATGGGGTTGATTTGACGGCGGAAGTGAGAAGCCCCATAGACAGTCCTGTTGGCATCTGGCAGTTGAACGTGGAGACTACAGTCGTAGGAAGCAAAACGCATCCGAACACTTATAATTACGACAAGGACATTTATTTGCTGTTCAATCCTTGGCTGAAAGGTGAATAAATATATATATTTACGTGATAAATTTGAATGAAAAGCATCTGGACAACAATTGTTTAACGCTGGAAATACCGGCGAATGAAGTATGAAAAAAGTATGTGTCGAATAAATTGAAATGGAGTAGAGAAGATCAATTTTTATTCGCGCGTAACATTGTAAATCTGCAAAAATTATAAATTGGTCGTTTCTACCACTCTGATGGTTCTAGTGACAATGTCATCTTGAACAAGCAAATGATTTTATTATTATTATTGTTCTCTTTTTTTATTACAATCATTTTACTTTGATCACTAGGTAAAATAACTTCCTATTTTATTTTATATCTTGTATTTTTCTACTTCTTCAAATAATTCTATTCGATTTTATTCTATACATTTATACGTTGCGGTATATTTTGTTTCAATGAATGTAAGAACACTTGATAAGGAAACGATCTGTTTGAGTTGGACACAAGATAAAGTTTCTAATATAGAAATAAATAATAAATTAATATGTAGGATATATAATTTGTTATTTTAAATTGTTCACTTTTCACATTTATTTCAATCAAATGTTATAGATTACATTCTTCTTTTATTTTCAGATGATTTGGTGTACATGGAGGATGAACAGCTCTTGGACGAGTACATTTTGAACGATGTTGGGAAAATATGGGTCGGTTCATGGGGAAGTGCACGCGGCAGAGAATGGGTGTTTGGTCAGTTTGATGCCTGCGTGTTGAAAGCTTGTCAGTTGTTACTGGAAAGATCCGGCATCAAAGCTAATTCCAGAGGAGACCCAGTCCAGATGTGCAGAGCTATTTCGAGAATCGTAAGTTCAATTTCTCTTCAATCGTTCGTAGAAGTAAACTTCAAATGTAAATTTACACATAAAGTATTTTTGCTGAAGAAAAAAAAAAAAAAAAAAAAAAAAAACAAAAAAACCTAAAAAAAAAAAAAACAAAAAAAAAAACAAAAAA